GTGTGAGTGAAAAACAAGAGTTGAAGTAGCCCATTAAGAAGAAGAAGATGAAGAAGAAGAAGGAGACGAAGAAGAAGATGAAGAATACAGAGAAAAAGAGGAAGGAGAAAAAGAAGCAGGTTAAGAAAAGGAAGAGGAAGAAGATAGAAGAAGATAGAAGGAAAAAAAAAATATATATATATATATATATAAAAAATAAATAAATAAAAAAAATGAAGAAGAAGATGCATTCTCTTCCTTCCACTCACTTTGTTAATGTCTTGGAAATGGAGCCTCAATCTTAATGAGGTTTTCTTCCTCCTTGCACAACTCCTCCTTGGCTATGGCTCCCTCCATCTTCAAGCCTCTCTCCTTCCTCTCTCCTTCCTCTCTCACCTCTCCCCAAGTTGCCTCAAACTCTCATCACCATGGCTATGGAGTCCTCCATTCGAGGAGGGCTAATGGGGCTCCCCCTAGCCTCTCTCTCTTCCTCACACCCAGGGGGCTATAGCGGATCACCTCCCCTAGTGCCAACCTCACTACCTCTAGTCTCTAGAATTCCTCTCCCTAGCTCATGACCTCCACCAAACTCCCAAACTGGCATGGGCTCTCCTCTCCTCTCCCCAAGTGAAAGAGTATTTTCATGAGCTCACTTGGGCAGCATGGACACTCCTTATGCAATTGGGAAAATGGCGGACTGAATTCCCAACTTATGTAGGCTGAAACCAGCAGCCCGGTCAGCCCATGAGCCTCCCCATGAGCCTTAAGGTGAACTGAGGTACCCCCAAGGCAAAAATCCATAACTAGGCCCTTCCGGAAGTACTCGGGCCTCTTTTTGGCCAAGTACATGCAGTCCGAGTGGTTGGTACCAACTCTGATTACCTCTTGGCTTACTTCGGCCCCCTTTTCACTTCACAAATGCTGCGCCCTTGGGTCCTAATGCCCAAGGGGCAATTTTACTTGAGAGAAAAATGCCTAGTGGACCTTTTTCTCGATTTTTTCAGTTTGTACCTCATTTTTGGTAGGCCGAGATATTTTTCCATGCAGCGGCACATTTTCAGCCTTCGAGCTGAGATCTAAGACCAATAATATTCCTTGCCACCCCCAAGTAGCCCTTGCTTCAATTTTGAGCCCCTAAGTCCACTTTTTTAAAGTTTTTTGCATGTGGCTCTCTTTTTGGGCCAAATGCACAGTTTTATTTTTTTCCCTCTTTTGTTTCTTTCCATTTTGGGCTTCCACCTCATTCCGGAGCTAGCTGTTTTGAGCTGGCCCACAAAAAATGGCTAGTTCCTCTCCACCATGAGATCTGATCTCAGATCCATTGTCCAAAAGTAAACGGGTTATTTCGTTTTCACATTTTTTCTCATTTTCTTCTTTTTAATTCAGATTTTATTGAGATATGGCCCCAAGGACCATATCTCTGCAATCCGGATTGCCCTCCCTCATTATAGGAGGGATGAGGTCACAATTGGGACCTGTTAGTTCCTACTGTGCAGGTCCCAATTGGCCGACACACTCTCCTAACTCTTTTCTTCCTTTTTGTCTCATTCTCCCTCCTTTTTCTCTCATTTTTTTTTTTTTTCTTTTATTTCAGTTGTGACAAGTTTCAAACTGTTGTGCACCCTGTTTCTAGGCCTTAGGGCCTTATTCAAGGCCTGGTTCATGGCTGGTACTTGGCGGTTATATCTCGAATTTCAACAATGGCACCCCCATGATCCTAAAGGACTCCATTTTGCTTTCGTTTGTCCAATTTTGAGCCCCCTTGGCTCCGATTTTCTCGGGACAACCTTTTTCTTATGTTGAGCCTCTCAAGGCTCTATTTTCTCATGCCTAGCTAGTCTGAGATATTTCGGACTGCTAGACAGCCCTCCCAACATCATTATTTTACTTTTTTTTCTCCTTATGACTCTCTCACTTGCCTCCACTAGTGTTAGCACTAGTGGTGCTAATATTTCCCATCGTCTAGATCCTCGATCTTGACGGTGCCGTTTGCTTGCACAATTATTCTTCGTGCTTGCTCATGGTTCCCTTGGGACATCCCAAGTACCCGCCACTTTCCTCCATAGTAGTTTCATTTTCTTGTTCTGCCGGCGCGCGTCCTGTTTTCCGACTTTTATTATTTCGACCAACTTGGTCCCCGACAACATTCCGGATGATGTCCCATTTTTATTTTTGGGGACCCCTTGCCCTTGGTGGTCCCATCATCTCAACACGTGTGCCGATTTTTCTAGGTCGTGAGATCTCATCTCACGGTTGCCGTTTACCGTTTCTCATGCCGAAATTGCTCCTTTCTAGCATTTTGGGCTTGCCGTGGCTTATTTTCCCTTAGCCTAGGCATCCCCATGCAGTCCGTTATTTCTCGGACTGCAGTCATGGCCATTTTTCTAGTCCCACAGCCCCACAACTTGGCTCATGCAATGGGGTCAATTCCGTAGCCCCAATGCCCCACAACTAGCCCCTACTCAAAAGAAAAAGAAACGGACAATTCTCAAGTGCATCCAGACTTGATTTTGACTCCGGATGCACCAAAAACATGTGTTTCTCTTCCCCTAGGTAATCCGTTTTATTTCGGTTGCATAGGGCCTTGGTTTTCTACGATTTTCTTTATAAAAATCAAAGAAAATCAAAGTCCTTTGTAACCGCCATATTCCAGAATGAATCTGGTCACGGACGAATCTCCCAAGTGACCGTTTTTTACCGTTAAGGCATTTTTCTCTTTTTCTTTTCTTTTTCTTTTCTCTTCTCTTTTCTTTTCTTTTATTTTCCTCCTCTCTTGGACAGTAGGGACCTGCCAGTCCCTACTTGTGGCAGTCCTTACTGACGGTCAACTCACTCACTCCTGTATCGTCCCCCGTACGTCGTACGGGGGGTACCCGTACGGACCGTACGGGCGTACGGACATCTCCCGTACGAGCGTGCGACGACCCAAAGGGGGGGTGCTAGGGGGGGTTTAAGGGCATCGGGTGTTGGGGGGGGTTGCTGGGATCACAGGAGTGCTGTTGAAAAAATTCTAAAAAAATATTTTTTTGTGAAAAATGAGAGAAAAAAAAAGAACTGCCCGCGTCCCCGCGGGGCTCAGCCTGGCAGGCAGTGGCGCGTGGCAGGGTTGTTTCGAAGGGCAGGCCAAAGCATCCCTGCCCCGCGCCACTGCCTGCCAGGCTGAGCCCCGCGGGGACGAGGGCAGTCCTTTTTTATTTATCATTTTTCACCAAAAAAAGAAAGGGACTTCGTGTGGACTGGGCGGGCCTTGGGGCCGTCGTCTGCTTATATATGAGGTTATGGGCGTCAACACCAACACTTTTTGTTGTAGCCCACATTTGTATTGTTGCCCACGCGACGCTGGTGTTGGAGGCTGTTCACGACAACGCACAGAGAGAGAGAGAGAGAGAGAGAGAGAGAGAGAGAGAGAGAGAGAGAGAGAGAGAGAGAGAGAGAGAGAGAGAGAGAGAGAGAGATGACGACAAAAAACGGGGAGAGGAATTGGACGACGACGATGACAACGCGGGGACGACGACGCGCTAAGTACGTACGGCCGCTCCGTCCTTACGCGCCAGACGACTAAAAGTTGGCGGCGCGCTCTTGTACGGATGCTTCGGCGCGCGTGGAGAGAGAGAGAGAGAGAGAGAGAGAGAGAGAGAGAGAGAGAGAGAGAGAGAGAGAGAGAGAGAGAGAGAGAGAGAGAGAGAGAGAGAG